CCCCAAAACCCCAAAACCCCAAAACCCCAAAACCCCTCTTGGATCCAGAAAGGTTGAAATCTTAGTTGTTATTTTCTGGAATTTTCTCAAAATGCTGCTTTGTCAGTGGATCGTAGTATAGGCCTAATACTGAGTTGTATACTACTTTCATACTGCTACTCTCTTCTGTTTGCGGTGCAGGACTGTCTTCTTCAAGGCTGTCTTTTGATATATTGTCTCAGTTATCCACATCTACATTATTATCCTTAAAAGCGTTCTGGTGGTCATCAGAAGGTTCGATTCCTTCAAGATTATAACTCTCAAAATTAGGTTCTTCGTTGTTCTCTTCTAGCTCTAGTGAATTACACGTCTAAGTTACCTTGGCCAGCAGTGGTTGTCCATCCCTCAACCATATTCATGGCTCCCTTGATGAATGGATTTGGGTCTTCTTTCCTCTTTATTGGTTTATCTTTATTTAATTTTGCTAGAGTCTTAGTCAAGAACCTTACTCTTTTTGTATGGATAAGCTAGATTTGTTGCGCACACTGTATTTTTCAAGGTTCTGAGAGATTTCCTTCTCTTCTTCATCCTCTGCTTCATATCTTACAGGAGCCTCTGTTTTGGGTGCAACTTCAGGAGCTTTAAGTGGGGATTCGAAGTACTTTTCAGTGCCTGTTAGCTCAGGTTTCGTATCAAAATTTCCTCGTGGAGGTTCAGTCTCAATATCCTTTGAATCAGGATCTTGGTCAGTACTGGATTTCCCAAATACTTTGGTCCTTGAGAGGAGATCTCCTTCACCGAACTCGTATTCCTGGAATGTCCCTTCTTCAAGCTCGTCTGGGTTAGTGTCGAAGTTGTTTTCTAAAGACATAAGTCACAAGGAAGCTTACCTATTTCTTCTTGTGGAGTTTCATCAGGGATTTCCTCGCTGACTTTCTTTCCACTGAAGGTGATCTGGTCCTGCTCTTCTTCTGGGTATTCTACTTCTTGATGGATGCTAAATTTAGTCCCATCATCTATTTGAGGCTCTTCTTGTGGTAAGGAGCTTGCGTTGAATTGGGTTACAGACTTCTCATGGACAGGGAAATCAGTCTTGTTTGTAGTTGAAGACACTGGTATTGTCTCATCAGGAGAATTTAGAGGCATTACTATACCTCCAAATTCAGAATCCAACCCTGGAATTCCTTGAACAACATTTTGGATGTCTCTGTTTAAAGTATTATCTTGGATTTCTCTATTTATGGTACTATCTGGAATCTGAACATCTGGGATGACATTTTTTGTACTATCTTCTTCTTGATATTGCAACTGAGTCCTTGTCCCAGCTACTTGGAGGTCTTCGATATCATCTCGGTCATCAGTATCCACAAATTTACTATCTTGTCTTTGGTTAAAGTCCTCTTCGGGGTCTTCGTCATCTTCTATTGAAGAGCCTGTCCTCATATGCCGAGAGTATTGTTCAAGTTCTTCATCTTCTTCTTTAATGCTATGCATCGGATCTTTCTCTTCCTCCATATCGAGTTCGTTCATGAGATCATCTATGTGTTCAAGAGGAAACTTACCATTGAAATCTTTTGGTTTGCTCTTTTTGGGTGGATCTTGAGCCTTAATTTTCGAAAAAGGATTGCTGAATAGCTCCTTCCTTTTCTTCTTGATGGACTCAAGCTTATCTTCCTCTTTTGAGACCATTTTAAATTGTTTTTCAAGTTTCAGTTTTTGGTTTTCAAGCTCAATTTCAAGTGGAGTTCGGTCTTTCTTGACTGGAATCTCAGTGGCCTTCTTTTCTTCCTCAAAATGTTCCATAGGAGGCCTTGGGTCAGTCTTTGCGGCTTTCTTGGGTGGTCTTTTAGGAGGCTTATTGTCAATTTTAGAAGCAACATTCATCCTCTTTTTGGTAGTTTTAGGTTTAGACTTCTTAGTTTCTTCATTTAGGGAGGAGCCTGTTAGCCGCTTCTTGGCTGAGCCAGTTCTGCCCACACCAATAATGCCGAGACCTTTATCAAAATCCTCTTCGGTCTTAACTCTCGAGCCAAAAGCATATTTATATTTAGTCGATGACTCTGATTGGAATGTTGTATTCTGGTCTTCTTCTATTTTGCTCTCTTCAAGACCTCCTTCGGTTTCTAAGATTCTATTCGCTGTGATGACTTGTGCTACGTAAGGAACATTAGGCGCGTAATTCATGGTTTTAGGGATCTCATCGACCTTGAAGGACTCAGGGTCAGCATACCCTTCAGTGTCGAGCAAGGAGTTGTTCATGGTGAACATTTTTTTTATCATTAAGTTTCCCTTGATCGAGATCGAATCTAATGACTTGTAGTTAAAGCTACTCTTCTTTGTATTGTAGCAATGATTGATAAAACTTTTTATGTTGATGGACAAGTTCATCCACTTCCCTACGGTAAATCAATTGATCGGAATCCGTGAGTGGTGGTGCTCGATTTTGATCCCCTTGGTCCCCTTGTGGAAAATAAGTCTTTTGACGGTCTTGTTGATATCCCTGACAGCTAATTCAAGATGAAAGTCTTTGTCAGATACCAAAAAACATTGGATTACAAGATATGGCTGAGCTATAGGAGGTTAATCATGAGTAATTACTTAAATGAAGGGTACTCTTGTCTGTTTTTGGTGCTCTCATCTGCCCCTTTCCTGTCTCGAGTACAAATATATAACCCTTGACTTCTTTATTGTATTCCTTCTTGACTCCAGTGTCAATCTTCCAGGGCTTAATAAGTTTTTTATCAAGGATTTCTACAGCAACACCGCCTTGATATGCAGTTTTGAACATTTTTAATTTTCAAAAATTATAAGTAATTTGGGGTTTTGGGGTTTTGGGGTTTTGGGGTTTTGGGGTTTTGGGGTTTTGGGG